AATGAATGAATGAATGAATGAATGAATGAATAGATAAATTAAACAAAGTAGATAAATAAACAAATATATATGAGCTGCTCTATGCCAGTTGGCACACTTTTTTTACTTGATACTTCGGAATTTTTTAAAATTCACTTTCTAACAGTGTTGCAAAAAATTGAAGAGAGGATCTGGAAAACTGGATTATCCGCCAAGTTACGCCTTTTGAAAGTTGCAAAATTTTCAAGATCCTGCTCTAAATTCCTAAGTTTCCAGATTGCAGTTCAGCTCAAACTTAGCATATCATTATTTTCATTTTATTGGGTTTTCCTCATCTACTGCTTTCAGTCAGTGTTAAAATTTTTAATTTTCAAAACATAGATGGGCACAACAAAAACAGTTATCTAAAAGACATAGGAATGAAAAAACCCTCTGAAATTTTTTAAAAGAAAAGATACATTTTGTGTAAAATTTTCTACCCTATAAAATGTCAAAATTGGAAATGATTTTTTGAGAGGGCCAAGAGTTTTGAATTCAAAAGCGAGGACTGCAGTTGCAGTATTCGTGTGCACTTTACAGTGCTCTGAGATTATCGTAGACCGCCGATTCCGCTTCTGAAAGCTGAGCGAAACGTTATGAATATCCAGTACGTTTCATTTACCGAAGAGTGGTCGGACGAAACTGTATTTTACACAAAGAAAATATTCGCAAATCATTCATTATATTTTTATTTATTTACAAAGGATTTTTCTTTTAAAATGAGAAGAAGATTTACAGGCTGCCAGAAGCATATTCATAATCAGCACTGTTAGTGTTTTGGTTTTAAAACCAGGTACCGATCGAAATCAACGTTCTTTCACTGATTTCCCGTGCTGCAATCGTTCAAATTCGAGATTTTATTGGAATAGAAAGTTTGCGAAGACACTTCACATTTGTGAAATCCAAAAATTTTTGCTGTTGTTTCCTTGACGGTAGGAAAGATTTCCGGGAAACTATTTTTTATGATTGTTCCAGTACGGTATAAAGTTGAAAAAGCAAAGGACATTGGAATAGAAGAGGTTTATTACAGATTCGAAAAGTAATGATCTGTGATTGTTCTTTTTGTGTAAATTACAGCTCCGTAAAATAAATCTTAAGCACTTGAACAAACTGGATATTCATAACTGTTCGCCACTGCTTCAAAAGCAGAATCGGTTGTTGACAGTGATCTCGTCACTGTAAAATGTTCACGAATATTGCAATGACAACGGATTGGCTTGCTTTTCTGCACATAACTCCCGATTCCATCGGAGGATCATCACCATCTTCTGTCGTTTCAGAGAGCAGAAAATTTTATGCTGAGTGTAATTTTTTCCAGATTTTGAAGATCTTTTTATTCTTAAGTTTTCTTACTGCTTGCTTCAGTTGCATCTACTCATCTGATTCAATAAATTAGAAATTATGAGCTGATCAAAAGGAGAAGACAAAGACAACTTAATAAATTGAAAAACATTGAGCTTTTTTAAGGTTGAGCTGAGCTGTAGTCCGGAAAATCAGAAATCTGGCAAATACTGCGACTTTGAAGGAGCATAATTTAACAGAGACTTTATTTTTTCAGGTTTCTCCTTTGAATTTTTCAATGTGGGTCTAAATTCTACTAAAGGACAAAAATTGAAAAAATTTTGAGGTATCAATTGGAAAAAGTGTGTCAACTGACAAGGAACGGCCTTTATATATAATAGGAAAACACTTAATTATATTTGCCCAATCCGTAACCATCGTATTTGACATTTTTTGCAAATAACAGTTCTAATAAAGCGAATATTTAACCTAGAAACTGTGGAACACCAGTGGCTTGATTATTCGTTTTGCTGATTTTACGATTCATTCAAGTGCCACTAATGTGATCTTGATTTTGAAAACCGATCCAAACTCCCTTCCTTTGTTGTCATAAACAATGCAGGAGTAAAAAGTGTGGCAAACAATTTGCCACGACTAAAATACCTCGCCCAAAACTCATGCAATGATAATGCTGATGACGGTGGCTGAACCCAGCTAAAATATACATGACTACATGTTCCTTAATGTTCCACAGTCAAGTTCAGCAAGATAGCGATGCTGATTTTATGAGCGAAGGGTTGTTGACTGTGACAGAAATCATTGTACGACTGTTTAGGACTTGAATTTTAGAAAAGCATGAAGAATTTTACAATTATTTTAACAATAAAGCTATGCCTCTCTTTTGACAAAAATAAATGATACAACACAAAAGGTACAGCCTGGTCACATTTTTGTTAGAGCTTTTTCTGTGAAAAGAGGTTTAACCGATAAATTATAGTATGCAAATCTTTCTCGCATCTTCTTCCTTGCCAATCTTAACGAAAAAAGTTTTTTTTCAACAAGTACACAAGCTGATTGTAGTCTGTATGTTTATTTTGGAAAATTTAAGGAGGCAATACTAAGTTGAGACAAGAGACAAGGAGTATTGCTCAGACTGGGGATTTTAAAAATCTGAAAATGTTGAAGAAACGAAATAGAGATTTAAGCCAACCGATAATTAGCGAGAAGTTTGAAAGAAGGGAAAAAAACTTTGCATTCTTATTTACTACTGAAAGGGGTTCCAAAAACCTTGCTGGCGAGGTCTTCTGGTTTCATTCAACTTCTAATTCAAAGTTTAGAAGCAAAACGGGAGAGCAGGAGAAAGCGATAATAATAATTAATTATTAATTAATAATAATAATAATAATAACAATAATAGCAATAGATAATAATAATGATAATGATAATGATAATAATAATAATAAACACCAATAACAGTAGTAATAGTAATGATAACAAAAACGATAAATAAAAAAAAGATGATTGAAAAGTTGATAAAACAACAGTAACTTTCAGGTTCAACAGTATATTATTCGAGACCTTGTTCCTTAGTTAAAATGCTAGCAGATATGTTTGGTACCTAACTTTGTTCCGTTCAGTCAAAAGGAAATCTGTTAAAACCGGTACAAATATAAAATCTGCACAGAGATTTTATAACGGCTTTAAATAGCTGAATGAAATCGGGGGATGGAAATAAAAAAACACAAATACAGCTATTTGATTTACTCCTTTTTCTAACGTTGTCAATAATTCAACAAAACCGCCTATTTTTTCTTTTTTTTTATTTATTTACTTTTTTTTTTTGTAATGCTGTTCACCCTAGTTATACGGAACAAGAAAAAAATTATTTACTCTCAGCAAAAAGTAGTTTCCAACTACTTCTGCAAAAGATAAGAAAGTGAAATCGGTACCATTTGACAAAAATTCATAGATTTTGATGTTGCTACTGTTCTTTTTCTATAATTTTGTTTTTTCTCTTCCATTTGTTTATTTGTGGAAAACACAAACTTCCGTAACCTGAGCGCAGTCGACTAACTAATGGCCTCAGTGAACAGAAGGAAAAATGATGCTTCAAAAACAGAGGCACTAAGTTCGTGAATCATTCAGTTCACTAGTAGCTGTTGATCGTGTCACCACCCGCCTAACAACAATGAAAGTTCCCCTACCAGAAAGTGTAAAACCGGTCATACTCCGCTGCCCGCGTTGCTAATTGGGACCTAATGTTCCGAAAAGGAAGATTTGAAAAACATTTTTCGGCCAACTATCCACCTAACCGAATAATTTAAGACTACTGTACCACAACAACATCCACGTGAACGCAGTCAATCACTGCTGATAGCAGTGGTAAAGATTAAGATTCAAATCCGCGTGTACGCAGTCAATCATTGCTGATAGCAGTGGTAAAGATTAAGATTCAAATCTTTTCAGTTAAGCTGCGAAGAAGAGAAGAAAAAAAGACACATTTGGCAATCTGGATAATCGTGCATCGACTTATCAATCGACATAACTTCGCTAAGTCACTGTACCATTGGCTAACTAAAATGTGATTTCAAAACTTGCCACGCAGCCCCTCCGTTCTCATAAATTGCTAAATAAACCTTCACACTAAATCTAATATGTACGACTTAAAACAACTGTCAGTTTCTCTGCAACTAATTACTGCACTACTAGAAGCAATTAAAAAATAAACTACCAAATTCTTGAAACACTAAATGCTTAATTTTTTTAACCTATGAGTTTAGTTCTTTGGAAAATTTACGACATCAAGGCACTAAAAATAACATTTCCGGCGAAATAAGACTTTAAAAAGCTTCAGTGCATATTTGGGAAACAAATAAATAAATATCCAACCTGTTTCAAAACGAGTTTTATGGAGAAAAACTCCTAAACAACTTTGATATTTGAAATATAATAGATATATTTATTCTCCACTTCACTATACAATCAATTTGTGCCATATATTTTCCAATTACTTTTTAACAAGCCCGCAATAACAACATTTCGTTAAATTTTAAAATTCTTCTAATTATTTTAATATTTATTTCTCAAAACGTCTTGAACAATATGCCGCTGACGTTTTTTGATAAGTTCAAAATATATAACAAAAACAAAATCCAAATCACAGACATAGCTTCTTACATAGTAAATAAAAAAAATGAGTCAATACCCCGTAAAAATAATAATTTAAAAGAAAAAAATCATAAACTCTTTAACTGTGACATCAAAGACGCTAAATCAGCTTCCGTAGCTTTAGCTGTTTCATTTTTGACGCCCTGGAAAAAGCATATATTATTCTTGATCTTCCAAACTACAGTTAAAAAGCTAAACTCCCTGTCAAAATAAAACTTAAAAAAAGACGAACTTGGTCAACATCCTTCGGTTCATAAGCAAATACTAACCCTTCCTTCACCTCAACCTTTTCTTTAGCAGCCAAATCTTTAGATGACTCTTCGACAAGTTCGATACCTTCAAGTTAAATAACGTAATAAGTAAGATTAAATAAGGAAAAGTTTGCTTTAGCGGCGCATAAAGGAACCTCACCCCAAGAATTGTCGTCATGAACAACACTGTCTTGCTCCAGCTGAGTAACTTTTGGAGCTTCTTTCACCTTCCTCTCCTGAAAATAATCAAAAGCTATTACCTTTTTGAGAAACCTAAATAAGCTACTTTCACCACAAATAAGAAAAAAGTTAGATAGAAAAAATAAGAGGAAGCTACTTCAGTTACAAACAACTGAGTAATTGCCTGGTATTCTTTCTGCCTCTGCTTGCAGAAAAGATCATCACAATGTGGATTCGGAAGAAGGTCATGGCGTGGGAAAAAATCACATAAGGCATTGTAACCAACGTAAGATGAGACTTCACCAAAATTAAGCAGAAATCTAAAGTTTGGAACGCAGAAAAAGTGGGCTAAATCTTTCGAATAACTCAGAACATGTATCGTTATTCATAAAAAAGTACATACTTCAAGGCATTCTGCACCAAAAAGCCAGCAATAACGGCCATAGTTGTCGGCAACGACGCTGCACAAACTCCTTCCCTTTTTAACGTCCGTTCGTCTATGTTTGACGCCACGACTAGCGGTGGAGTGCACTAAGTTTAGGTTATTATTCGCTGCTTTCCTTTTCTAGCTTCAAAGATAATTTTGCACACTGGCAGTTCTATGAAATCAAACAGCATAGTAAAAAAGAAACATTTAAATATTTAATTGTATATTGAAGGCAACTCCAACGCAAAAAGACATAGAAGAAGGTTGGCAGTCTGCTGATATACATCTTCTGCCTTAGCAGCTCAAGGAAATAAAGTCTCAAGAGTTTTTTTCTTGAAATAACACTCAAAAGTTTGTCACAAAAAGTAAAAATATTACTGCGAAACACGCAGTTCGACCAGGCTCAATATATTGTATATGTCCAGATACAGCATTTTCACTAACGCCAGACTCCATCCATATTTGATTCTCCTCATTACAGGCCTAAAAGATTTATTTGTAACTCTATTTGTCACCATAAAAAGGAATAATTAGTTAAATGACTTAAATAAATAAAGATACCAGAGAAAATAAAAGACGATTCCGTGTTAAGAAAAAAAAAAGCTAAAAATTAACAAATACCGTGTTTATTGTCATTCTCGCTTCAAAATTGTCAACACAACTCAAAACAAGATCAACTTTACCTCCATTAAGACTTCCATTCCTAAAAACATAAGTACTTAACTGCTGAAGTGAATTTTCAACTATATTACTAATTACTGAAAAAACTTCCAAAACTCCTTTTAAAAGTTCTGAAAAACCAATAAAATAACCTTTTGCAGCTTGCAAACACCATATCAACTTAAATCAAATTAGCTGTTCTTGAATTTAAAGATCTGACAAGCATATGCATCTTCTATAAATTTTAAATTTAGTTGAGGTCGACTGCCCAAATTTACTGCATCCCCAGTAGTAGAAGGCGGCAAAAAAACCTGATTTTTTCCGTGAAAATCTTGTAATTGTCGACAGTTGTTATGTTCATAGAATATGTGTCAATTTCAACATCCGGATTAATCACTCTAGAAATTAAAAGAGTGGACAAAAGAAGAGTAAAATCAGGCTTTTGAAAAATGCTTTTTCAGTACAAGAGATGAAAGTTCTTCGGGATATCGAATTACTTCAATGTGTTGCATGCAGCCTCAACCTTGCTTAATCCTGATTGGCTTGGCTGATAGAACAGTCTATTCATATTAGCTAACTCTACCTAAAAAGAAAACTGTCAGTCATACGAGGCTTTAAGAAACAAATAAATCAATGAGTACAAGTCCGGTGAACACCAGCTGCTCAAAACGCAGTGGCCAGAAGAAACTTAAAGAAAAAATACCTTGTCGTAGTCAAAAAGCAAAAGTTTTCCAACACCACACCGAGTCAGCATTTCAGCAGCAACGCTTCCAACACCACCAATACCAACAATTAAAACAGTCTTTTTGCGAATATTTTCGTAGTCCTTCACAATTTGCATTCGTTTTAGAGCCATCAAACGACTATATGGATTACTGTCTACCACTTCGTCACTCATTTCAGCTAAAGTATAACAAAAAGACAGCACTATTTAAAGAATAACAACAAAAAATTAAATAAATGGGGAAATAGTCAATTAAAAACTACCAATCTTTTCCCTTTTCGGAACAGACCGACTGGTTGCAGCTTGTGCTGCATCTGTTTTATTACTACGTACTTCATTTACCAAGCTGTTCAGTTTGTCACATAACTCATCCAGTTTCCTGTTTGTTTTTCTGAAGTCCATCTGAAATTTAATTTATAAAATATCCAAACGATTAAAATACCCACTGGCACGATGGTGCCGGCGAAAATATGTTCAAAGTTCAATAACGTCATTCAAAACTTCCCTGCTCAAAATGTACTTTCAGGATTCAGACGTCACTTAAAACACTGTACAAAGATTTCTAATTTCATTATCCCATAACTGGTTGCTTTGATGGCAAGGGTTTCAGAAAAGAAATTCTAAAAAAAATCACAAGAATAATGAACAAATGAGCAGCACAACAAATTCTAATATCCAAAGAAGCCGTGTACAAAGCAACTCTTTAAGCTGGGCTAACTTCAGCGTTTACAAGGAAGAACTCCGTTTACAAGGAAGAACTCAACTATCTTAGAGCCCAAATCATGATGCAATAAAATGATTGATCTTCACGTAACCAATCTGATCTTTCTTTTGACAGAACAAGAAAGTACTACCTTCTAACACTACCATTTCTGAGTTTAGAAATTAACATTTCACTACCTTACCGTCGCACAAAAGCTACCAGTCTTGACTTACGCGACCAAATAACTACAAACGAAATTACTCAGGAATTTAAATAAAACCTGGAATGCGTCGAAAATAAACAAAACCAGTAAAAACCTCAAAGTTCCTGGTATTTCAGAACTGCTAACGCTTGCACAAATAACAATGGTTGAAAAAAAGAAGTGAACAACGATGGGACAACTACAGCAATAACTGTTGCGAACAAAACGAAGCAAAAATTATGACGTTAAACTTGCATAAATTTTAACGTATTCTGCAGCTAAGTGTAACACCTGAACAATACCATCCACAGTGATTTCTGAAAACAATGACACATTAACTGCATCAGTGGACAATCGAAACAGTCGACGATTACTTTTAGTGAAACTCTTCAAAATGCTATCGTGTAATGTACAACCAAAGCGTTTTAAGACCTTGCAACAAAACTGCACAATGACGCCAAACAGCAGTGAACAAACAGAATAAGCGTAGATGGCAATTATTCAGGGAAAGGCTGAGTAAATGCAGTCTGGATACGTTTCCGCTAAAATCTAAATGACTGATTCCACTGTCATAATATTCCCAACTGTACAATTTTTGATATCTGGGGCAATAGTTTTGTTCATGCTTTTGAAGTTAACCATATCTCAACAAGATAGATGTGGTCTTGATTGCAGTTTTTCGGTAAAACTGGCGCCAACAGAACAGTCTAAATTTGTACAAAGTAGCCGAATTCAAGAAAATTTTTATGTTGAACAGATTGGATGAGTGATACGACAAGAAGTGCACTGTAGCAGCAACTGCTGGCATATTTAATTAGGAAGTACTGAACTTACTTGCAGCTTTAGCCAACAATGTTGATTCTATGTCAGCTCACTGCCTGCTAAAATGAGGAGTATCAAAACTGACTACGTCTTCAGTAGTTACCTGATATTTCTAACAACTATTAAGCGCTGTTCAGAATTGAAAATGTTTTATTATCTGCATATCTTCAAATTTAAAAATTCAAACTGAGGAGATAAGCGTTTTTACTCATAGTCTTTTAAGTCAATAGTTTTCTCATTTTTTTTTTTTAAATATACCCAACTCCAGCAATACAAACAGCGTGAAATTAAGACAAACTTGCTGTATATCAAAGATCAAAGCTTCTAT